AAATACTATTATTAAATAATGTAGTCTTATTGATGGTTTTCAACCATTCCCAGGAGAGAAAGTTGAACAAAAGACGTCCGCCATTGCTGGTGGACCTGACAAAAGAAAACCACCACCGTGACTGGTGGACCTTTTTGTTTTGCTCACTCTCATGGGAATGGTTGAAAACCATCAATTAGAGGTAAGAAAAACGACTTTTATGCAAACAAAAAAAAAACAAAATTTACGAAACAAACAAATAATATGACAATCAAAATCGATCAATCAGGCTTTACTATATATAATGGCAATTTTATTATAAATGTCTATTTGGCTGCACTTATATTATGTACATCAATTTCTTCGTGCGAATGATTCTCAGTAAATAACGCGTTTCGCTTTTTTTAAATCAACCGAACCGCTACATGAAATTCGCTGTATTCCTGCGAAGGAATTAATTATAAATCTTTTCTTAATTTTCCAAGTCTTTTCTCATTCATTTTAAACATTTTACCTTAAATGGTATCATTGTTCTTATTTGGTATCTATGTCCATATTTGGCACTACGATATGATAATTTTTGGAGTTACTAAATCGAGCGTTTGTCAAAAATTAAAAACGTTTTATAAGGGGCAACAATTATAACTATTATTTTTGCTATATTTTCTGTTATGTTTGCAAAATATAAAAGCGAGAAAGCATGGTTACCTAGTAAAGGCGCTCGTGTCGATAACTAAAACGTAACAGCTAACTTTAACGTTATAACTTAAAAATTAATATGCGATGTTGGTTTACACGTAGATTATTGCAGAGCGGCATTATCGTCCAGCTTAAGTTCAAATTGCTCGCGTTCTCAGTGCCAAAGAGCCAAGCCTACGAGGTTATATACTTGCATTCCCAGAATCCATTTCGGTAGTTAACACTCAAGATGAGCAGTATGTCAATATTATTATGCTGAAAACATCAGTCCATGATTTCGTCATTTTAAGTCACATCAGCTCCTCTACATTGATATTTTACGTAGTTCCAATTTAAAACTACGGAAAAATAATCACAGTTAGTCTTCAGCGTCCGTGGTGTTTCGTACCATGGGAACCAGGATTGCGGCAATGAAAGTCTAAAACATTATAGTCAAACGCTTTAAGGAAATCATCAACACCGCACTGCAAAAATCAGTGTAAAACGCCCTTAATGCGATTTCTTTTTCTTGTTTTTGTTGCAAACAGTATAATTTTATAAAATGTCGGTTTGACTTCTTCAATTCAATGTACATGTGTACATAATGTTCTCTTTAAAATGTCCCTCAGTGTTTAATTCCATTGAAGTTCCAGACATAATCCATAAAGTAGTCATGCGAGTTGGCTTTTCTTCATTAAGCAAAAGTTAATGTYCATTCAGATGAATYGAGTTAGCGCGGGACATCTTTCAACAACTATGCATCCATAACCCGTGAGACGTTTAGGAAACTGAACAATTCCTGAAAATTGCGATGTGAGCCAGCACACCACGGGRCCAGCAGATTCTTAAAGATACTCCTCCTAACCATTTATATCGAKYWATWTCTTGGCTGCTTCGTCATTAGCTGTTCCACCAATGTACTACACCGCATACTAAGACGCMAAGAAGAAKCTGTGACGAGAATCGCGGATGAAAAGCAGGACTGCTGTTTCCCTTTCTTGCAAGCGTAATTACTAAACGTATGAAGGAAACATATGTTAAAAACTAAATTAAAAAACATTAAATTAAGATTATTTATAGCAGGCGTGCGTATGAAAGTGAGGTGTTTCCAAATAGACAAGCGAACTTCCGAGCCCTGCCCGAGCTACCTCATTTCCATACTTACGCCTTCGATGTTTTTGAAGGTGCCTGCATATCACCGAGTCTTATTAGTCGCTTATAGAGCTGATTTCGTATTAGTGGGAAACGGATGGTACTGTACTGTGACCGTAATCGTACTGTAACCAAATTCTAGTGCCCCATTGGTTCACCAAAATTGTGCAGGCCAGGTCCDRTAACTGTGCGGTAACCGTGCGGTAACGGTGTCCCACTCATACGAAATCCGCTCTATGATTAAAATCAAAGTACATATGACTTGAAAACACTGACCTTTCCCAGCCTTGATGGGTGGTGACCGCGGACCTATTGCGTAATGCTCTCCATCAACCAATCKGAACCCCGCCACTTGAAAATGGTAATCGCCTCCTTTAATCAATCTTTGTATGGTTCTTTCGTTACGGTCTCTCTCGACGTCTACATACTTGATCTTTTTATCTAATCCCCAGTAAAATACCTGAAAATAACATAATCAAAACCGGTTGATTTAAAAGTGTGATGAGCGGGATCCCTTTGGTCTGAGGGCCGGGTTACCAAGGGGTTCTTATCCAACATGGCCGAGATGGCCGACTGCTTGTTGCTGTATTACTAGACCTGCAAGTATTTGACAACTCATAGCCCTAAATTCGTGATAATTACAAAAGGTTTAAATATTTTTTTGTGTCAGATAAGGTAAGATTGCGATACATATTTGATAAGAGTTACATAAGACAATAATTTGGGACTTTTTGGAATTATTTTCTGTCAGCCAGCTTACCCGATAACCATCAATAGAAGGTTTGGTGATCTTGTTCCATTTGATTGACGCTTCACGCTGGAATTCATCGTAAGATGCAGAAACACTATTCGGCCAGGATAGAGGAACTGTGAAGCATAAACTTTGTTAGTTAGTTTTTAAACGTTTTGTCATAGAAAAACAACAACAACAACAACACTAACAAGAAAATCTCTCGTTCTTGATTGATAAAAGGGTTTACTAGTAACAAAAGTTGATCTTTAGAGTGCACGTCACATAAGCATGAAACAATCCTTAATATGTATTGCTAAATAAGATTTAGTTATCAACTAACTAAGAATTCAACAAAGCATAAACACAATGCCAATTATTTAAATTTCTTTGTAGCATTGTTCTCAATTCTTAGTTAGTTGATAACTAAATCTTATTTAGCACTACATAGTTAAGAATTGTTTCATGCTTATGTGACTTGCACTCTACTCAACACTCTGTCTTCGTTTTAGACTATTAATTCATTTATTCAGTGCCCTCTTCATCCATGGTACTCAAAAACTCCCAAACCCACCCCTCCTCAGTCCACAGTATGCTTACCTATAGCAAGATCAAAGTCCGCCATGACGGGTGGTCCTTCGCCAATTTTATTTATTGCCCGWACAGAGAACTGGTACCTAGTCTGTAAATCTAAGTTATGGACTCGTAATTGCGTGGAGTAATTGGTAGCACCGCTGACCGTTTTGCTGTCCACAAGCCTGAAATAAAAGAAGTTTTATTATGTCATTGTTTACGCTTTTTATCAGCATGTATGAGACAAGAAGGGAGGAGAACTAAAGGCAGGAATTAAGAAGACAGTTGAAGATGTAATGATAGGTTGGTTCAGATAAATAGCTTATTCAAAATAGTCAAGGGCGGATCCAGGAGTTTCTTCAGGGAGGATTGCAGGACATTTGAGGAGGCGGTGCACACCATAAAATTGTCTCAAAGATCCCCTGCACCCACCACTTGGGTACGCCTCTGGTAATTACAGATATTATCAATAATTGAAATGTTGCAAGTAGATTTAAGGACAGAGAGATAGACTAGTTACAACTACAGATAGACACACAGATATATTGTAGACATGCAGACACAAACAGACAGGCATGACGTCATATAATTAGTCGTAGTGCATCATGGTATTGATAAAAATCAAGATGGCGGAGCGTTTGTTATAAAAGATATAGAGGGCGACGTTTTTACGCGAAATAAAAGTTCACCAGCGTCAACATGTATAGGATGACTGCACCAGGATATAAACCAAACATCTTTCTAAGAAATGTAAAATTCTATTTGTTTGCAAAATATCCTTACACAACCTGGCCTGAGCTAGTACGTTCGGTCAATCCCATAGTTCTTTTCATCGGAAAACAAGTGACGTCATAAGAAAACCAAGGGCCATTATTGCTTACCTTCTGACTGACACTCTATAGCTCAATATAACACCGTTGCTTTTCTTCGGTTGAGCCCATTGTAAAACAACATACGAGCTGTTCTGCACCATTAGTGTAAGATGTGATGGAGGGTCTGGTACTAAAATAATACGTGAATAAACAGGTTAGAAAAGCAGGTCAAACCTGTTAAACCGGTTTMAGTTCAAAACATTTTAGTGTGACGATCTTTGACATCAGTTTACAATATTGTTTATCAATTTAATGTGAACAATCTTCATTTGTTTATTATTGTTGGAGAAGTATCATAATGTTAATGTTTTTAACATTACAAAGTAAAATATAACTTAAATTGTTGAATTTAGCAAAATCTTAAAAGCGGGACGTTTATATTAAGTTGTCCTTATCACAAAAATAGGCTGTTTATAGGCTTATGAATCAGAACATCCACAATGACTTTAGATTTAGACTGAATAGCTTTAGATTTAGCTGGTAAACTTACGCTTGGTAGCTTCAACGGTTTCTGAATCTCGTTTACCAGTTGTATCGTAGTCAGATTCTAAAAGAGAAATTAGCTGCCATTTTTAGTGTTTGCTATTAAAGTTAATTTTAGCGAGCATGCAATATCCAGTTTAGCTAAATTATTTAATAATTCATAAAATCAAAATAAAATTATAAAAGCGCAATTATTAAAAATATACAACTTGTAAAGAAAATAATAAGTTTAAAGTTCAATAATTATCAACTTACTGCCCATAGGTGTTCTGATAGGACCAACAATATTGCTCCCTGGGCCATCCCCTCGACTGTTGTACGCCACCACCTGAAATCGGTACTCAGTGTACGCCTCGAGTTCCATCATGGCCGTGGGTCTAATGGACGACTTATAAGCGGCTTTTCTAGGTCGGTAGTTCTTTGTTTCTTTCCAATAGTAGATCTAATTTTATAAGGAACAAAATAAATAGTAATTCACTCAAAGAAGGACAAAATGACGTTTAAGTTGAGCATAGTAAAATACTATACAGGTCAGTATAGAAAATGTACGAAAACACGCGACGTATTGAAAACATTTGTTGTACCTTATATCCCAGTAGTTTTCCGCCCGCAATATCTCTAGTGTCAGGTACAGGTGTCCAAGTAGCGTACGCTGACGTTGGTGATGTAATTCGTACTTTTAGCTGTGTTGGTCTTCCTACGGGATCTGAAATTACAATTATTTGTCAACGAAAATCTCAGATTTATTGTCAATTTATACCAAATGAAGTGTGGTGAAACTGAAATTGAGATATTATTGTTTAAAATGAAGCAGGATAAATTTACATAATTTGATAAAAACACCATATTAGGTCAATATCCTATATATGGTCAATCCTCCATATAAGGTCATATTTGATCAATGTTCCATATTTGGTAAACATACATATTTTCAAATTTGGTTAAAATATTATTACTTACATCGTTCTCCTGAAAAGCCATAGAACACTTTGCTCTTTGGACCAAACCCCTTATCATTCGCAGCCTGGACTTGAAAGGCGAATTTCACAAAGTAGTCCGACCCTCGAACCATGAATCGCGTCTTGTTGTTACGGATTTCATGTCGACTCATCTTTTCTTTGCTGTCTGCTTCTTTGTAATACAAGATGTAATAAATACCAGGTCCGTTTTGATCAATTAAAGGCAACGGCTGCAAAGAGAACAATCTATTTGTAAGAAATATACAAACACATCTCACATTAGAAGTTAACTCGCGGATATTGTGCATTGATCGATCTACTTGTGCGCAGGCAGTGACCATCAAACTTACCTTCCACGTTATTAGCATTTGAGTTGGACTCCTTCCTTTACTTCTGATTTTTCTTGGAACTTTGTCAGGTGCTGTATAAAACAATAACATATAAATCCAAGATAAATGGGGAATGTTATTACTTTAAAATCAAAAATAACGATTCAATCAAAATCGATTCTCAGAAGAAAATGTCGAATGAAAACCGAAGCTTCGACTAAATCACRAAAATRTATYGATTACYGGCATTTTGTGAAATCTTTAATATAGCTTGTAAATCCMACATCTAYGAATGTTTATCGATTACTCACCATTTGCAGGTGTTACAATCATGGGCGACGGTTGGCTTGGCTTACTTTTGCCAATGGCATTGATTGCAATTGCYCTRAAYGAATATTGAGCCCACGCTGACAGCGGTAGCTCCACCTGAGTTTGAAGTGGATTGTCTATTGTCTTCACTACCGTCCAGGTATACGGTTGAAAATCAACATTCTGTTCGATTTGGACGCGAGTGATTGGACTGTTGTTATCTCGTCCCAGGCTCCAAGTRATGTTWACATAATAACCATCATTCGTCTTTGGTAGAATTAGGACGTTTCTTGGTGGTTCAGGAGGGCCTGGAAACAAAAGTATGCTAAACTCACAATCCAAACGACAGATTTTTCACTAGGGGGTGATGTAAAGATATGCTATAGCCATCTGCGGCAGGTCCGGGAAACATACCAAAGTATGCATTATAGGTAGTTTCGCCTTGTGATAAAAATTAATTGAATGTAAGAAAAAAAATAAGCAGTTATTGTCAGCCGAGTAATCGTCGAGGAAAAAAAAACAACAAAAAACAATGGGGTAAAGAATACAAAATCATCAAGCTACGTTTTCACTAGATACGACTGCTCCGTGGTACAACAGACTGGTGGAGAACCCACGTACGGAAGTAATACACGTGACAACTAGGTTATTGTGCCTTCCATTTCATCAGTTAAAAAGGTAATATGCAGTGGTAAGGAATAATTTCCACCAAGCAAACAACATTTCCACCGAGCAAACATACCTTGCACTTGCAGCATTGCAAACGCCGTTGATGATGTCGACGATGGCTTCAGCTTCGATCCAAGTGGAGCCGTCACTTTGCAAGAGTACAATCCAGCGTCATTAAACTGTACATTGTTAATGTTAAGAAAACCTCTGTCCTGACCAATTTTACCGATCGATACTCTAGTATTTGGCATAACTGGAATGTAGTATCGGCTCCATTGGATCGTTACTTCCATGACGCCCATTGTTGTTACTCCACACGTGAATCGAACGTTTGATCCAATCATGGCTGTCTGGTCTTTTGGTGGTGAAGTGATGGCGAGATTTTCTGCAATACCAAATGCAATGTTAATAATTAGTAAATACCGATTGCGTTGCAATTCTAAGATTACAGGCTACAATATGGTAATATGATGATATTATAATGATCAGTCAAACATACCTTGCACGTTTAAACGACCAGATCTCGAGTCCGAGCCAAGTCTGTTCGACACCATACATGTATATCTCCCAGAATCCAACTTAGTTACATTAACAATCTCTAAATTTCCATTAACAAGAAAACGATATCGAGGGTCTTTCTTTAAAACAGTCGCACCTTTTTTCCACTTCACTGAAGGTTTTGGATTCCCTGAAGGATTGCATGTCAGRACSACMTTCGAATTAACGAGTTTGTTTAATATYGGTTCTGGAGCTTTGCTTCCTGGACCAAAACCAGCGGCCGTTTCGGCGACGGTTAATTCCGCTGAAGACAGCAATTGTCCGTGTTTGTTTGTAACGACGCACTGATACATGCCACCATCTAAGTACTGTAAGTTCGATATTGTTAGGTTGCCTTTGCTGAATGAGTATTTCGAGGAAGGTTTAAGTGCGACTCCATTAAAGTACCATTGATAGTGAACACGTGGTATACCAAACGCTCTGCAGGGTAACGTTGCGTTACTATTGAGTCCTGAGGTAACATCACGTGGTTTTCTTCTCCATTCGGGTTTTGCTGGAATACCAAACATACGAGGTTACGTTTGATTATAACGTCAACGTTTACCTGATGAATACCCCTATGTTACAAACACTTTAAATGTATGCTTCAAAGAAATTGCAGCAAACATCTGTCCATTTCAGCTGGTGGGGACAGAAAGTGCACGTCCCCTCCTAAGAAATTATCCCCTTAAATAGTTGTCACCGTTTGTGACTGTTTCTTCTCCTACCGCGGCCCGTAACTAAGTGTTGGTAATTTGTTGTTTCTACTTTTGTTTTGCTATTATTTACCTTCCATTCTGATAGATGTRCTCCGCGCATCAATCCTTCCTGAAACATCAGTAGCTTTGCACTTGTACTTGCCAGCGTCGCTCTTTGAGAAACTCTTGATGAAATACCTYCTAGCGTTGCCTGTTATTTGTCCTAGGATCATGTGAATTCCTTTCATTCGTATCGTTATCTTTGGAACTGGCCTGAAAGGAAAAGATTCAAGGATGTCAGTGGATCATAGCGGGCTCATCTTAATACTCTGGCTGTTACCACATCTCATCAGTCATACTTCTGTTATACTTACATTCCATAAACGATGCATTCTAGTACAAATCGTTCTCCCTTCAGTGCTACTTTTGGGGCAGAAAATTGAGGCGCTATCATCGGTGGCTGCGTCACCAATGGACGAACTGAAAAAATGTGAATAAAACTCCTGATTAGAGGTGCATAATATGTACTAGTTTTACTTATAAAGGATTGTTGAATTGTTGCATGGAGCAGACAGATATGCAATCATGTTGTCCGATGCTGAGGCTGTGCAGATGTTTACATCATCGATATTATATTTCATTATAAAATAATGATACAACACTCCAACAATTATCGCAACAGTTAGAATAAAAATGACATACCTGGCATAACGTTGAGAACAACCGTCCGTACCACGTGTTTATTAATAATATTATTCGTCACAGTGCACATGTAGTCTCCCGAGTCTGCGCTTTTTACATATGAGAAGTGTAAATCTCCATTAGCGCTAACCGTGTAGTAGGGAGACTGGGGAAGAGGCTTTCTCACTCCCTGGTTTTGAGGGTCTAGTTTGGACCACTGGATTTGTCTGTCTGGAAAAGATGCTGGTGCTTGGCAYTTTAAGACAACACTGTGACTTTCYTCYTTGCCTTTGATTGCGTTTCCRGTGGAAAATTGTCTGAGGTCTGGAAATTAACGTGTTTTAATTAATATTCAAAGAATAAAGATTTCCTAAAGTTAAGAATGAATATTGATACTTAAATCGCGATTAAATTATTTCAATCGTAATCTTCATTATCATCATTGTTGCCACTATCAACACTATCATCGTAGTCATAGTTACCACATCACCATAGTTACTTACATGGAAAYGCGACTTTAGCCCGTCTGCTGAACACAGACCCTCTAGGATTCGACACAAGACATTGATAGTATCCTTGGTCACGGTGTAAGACGGCGTTTGACACATAAAGCGATCCATCGGCAGTCTTCTGCATGTCTGTCCGTCGTCTGAAGTAGATCATTTTACCRTTRTGAAGCCACCGTACAGTGTTGTTCTTATGCGTGACGCACATGAGTGTAAAACTAAACCCTATCACGACTGTGTCCTTTGGTTGGATAAGGATGGCCGGCTTGCTTATGTATGCTGTAAACAATGCAGTAAGTTAATACACGCATCAGGAGTTTCAGAGAACAATGTGTCCGCCATCTTGAAAAGTGAGCCCTGAATCACTGTTTTGCCTTAGAACAAATTTCATAGCTGCTTAGTCAACTAATCTATCATCATAACGTATATTATACTAGATTTACATTAACTTAGAACCTTTTAATTTCTTTAGGAGTTATGATTTAGTGATTTGAGTCTCACTTTTCAAGATGGCGGATGCATTGTTCTCCGAAACTCCTGATGCATGTATAAGACTCAGAGATCATACCACGCATTTTCAAGAATGCTGTTGCTTAAACAYGTGTACCTTAAACACGTTGGTCTTAGGCACGTTGGTATTTTAGAAACTAAATATTTAATGCCATACAAAATGGCYGACTCCGATGTCCAATAGAAATCATGTAAAATATGAGTCCCATAGTTTCTCATGTGCAGTTCAGATTAGTTCTCAGTTGTATAAATACATAAATTTATTCATTCATTGTAACTTGCCTGGCGAGTGTGGCCATCAGTCTGATGACCATACGAAACCAGCTTGTATCRATAAAGCAATGAGTCATTCTAGTCTTTAAGTACAATTTTACTTTACACAATACTCCTTAACAAAGTCGAGCACTTTTTTGAAAACATTTTCGATAATTTTCAGTAGATAAATTTATTAATAGAAATAACAACAAAGTGTCATTCATCAGTAAATACTTGAAAAACAAGTAAATTCACATATAAAAAATTCAGTTAATTGAGTTTTTCATCAAATCTCTTTATCTAAAACGCTATTGGTTAATGGAAAAGTAATCTGTGCTTAAGTGCTAAAACACTTTCTWACAGGAGCAACCTCTTCATTTCACGTCCATGTGTCATAAGTTCATAAATTGACTTCTTAGACATCGCCCAATCAAAATTAATGGCTAAAGGAGCTTCATAAGAAACCAAATGATCCGTCGCGAAAAGAACTATGGGACATTATGATTGGAATTTCACAACTGGGTACTTGAAGTTTTCCAGCTATGCCGATGAAAATTATACTGATTAGCAAGAAATTTATCTATTTTTTTGGCGTAGAAAGAGTAAAAAATTCAGCGAACAAGTCCCATGATCCTTATAGACACAAAAATTTGATTTTAGTTCCTGGTAACATTCATAAAATCAGCTGTACTTACCGTTTGTTTGAAATGAAAGAAATGTGATTACGAGAATACATAGTAGACAAAATGTCGTTGTAAACATTTTTATACATCGATTKTTTGAGGTTGGATCTGAAAGATAAAAACAAGGGACATTGAGATTGTAATAATATCCGTTTAGTATCAAAAATTACGTATGATTTGGGTAGGAGAAAGCGCTGTATTCGCACAATTGAAAATCAGCGAATTGAGACACTTCTTTCCCCGCTTATTTTTTAGCCATTCATAGCTTAAAGTTTCTAGGAAATAACCTTGGCTTTCCCTGAGAAAAATCAAGATTTCCACGCATTTGCACTCYGAMGCAGTAATTACATGTCGATAGTTTATAGGAGTGTCGAACGCTTCAAGACATAAACAKCTTAAACGAACGAATCAGAACAGCAAGGAAAGCAAATTTCATTTGTACAATTGATGACTGTGTGGACTTTGCCCACGTATTTGATAAAGTCAAAAGTCTTTTCACATCCAAACAAAAGATCTTTTTATTAATACTTAGCCCTCTTCAGTTCATGTTTACATATCTTGGACCACGCTTTTCCTTTTTAAAATGGAATAGATTTTCCTAGCCCAATTTTTTTTTGTCATTTCACATCTTTTTATATACAGTCTTTTTATATACAGTTATTCAAATTTCGCGGAAATATTGAGGATAGAACCAAAGTCAAAACGACTAGCACGTTATGTTATATATCTTATTTTCTATAGAAATTCAAGTCTTGGGAATTGATATGTTTCGCGCGTTTACTAAAGTCTATTGAAAACATCAAATTAATGTACAAAACTTAACACGAATTGTACAATTTTTCGACGCAAAGCACCCAGTTGGCATTYCAACTTCCGACCTTTGTCTTCGAGACAAATTATGCTCAACAAGAAATAATTATAGTTAACATAATATTATATGGTTGACAATCTTTGGTTCTTTTTGATGCACCAACAAATCTTCATTGAAAATATGATTTATGTGTGTGAGAAAACAAGTATTGTGTTAGGAATGAATTATTCAAATATTTTCTATTTGAAAAGTGACTTTTCACAATTTTATTCAATATTTCTAGAACTTGACATTTCAAATATCAAGTATTGATATTTTTGAGAAGCTGGGGAGATACTTTCTTTTTAAGTTACTGTGAACAAACAGCAATTTTATAAGCTTTTATAAGTACAAAATTTTCATGTAAAGAATCGTCTAAGACYAGCTCARAGTTTCAGTATATAACATAGAAMCGACGCACAAAATTCTAGAAAAAWTTATRKAAAAAGCACTTCTGTAACAGATTTGTCCCATATATTAATTTCRCAATTGMGAATTTAATTACTAGATAAGCTAGAGGCCTCGCCATAACCTAGCCTTTCCAACTGTGAGCGAGTCACTTGATTTTATTATCATTAACCAAACCTTTCCAATTGAGTGGAAAACCATCTTCGAATCAGAAAAGATTAAATGTCATAGAATTACTTTTTTCACCGTTAAAGACAKTGTTTCCTAGGATAGAGTTAATCACGAAGTTGTTGAAGTTTTCGAAGTCACCTTTGTTTCAACTGATTTACAAGTTGATTTCTAAGCCTAGCTTGAGATTAAAGAACGTTATTATTTGTGAAAGCAAGTCTTGGTTTAAACTCTGTCTGATATTTTTACTATTGTGCAATAAGTTAATCTTTYTTCAAAGAAATTTTAGCGATGTCCAAGGGAGAGAGGTTTAAGTTAAACAAAAAATAAGGTAAACAAGTGTGATAGTTTCAGTTCTATATAGACTTCTTATATAGTGAAAGCTACAGCATTACCTCAATCGTAACCTTTTAGAATAAGTTCTACTGCGCATATATCTCTATAGGTATCTATTCTAAAACCATGACGATATGACAAAAACAATTCAAAATGAATTTTCCAACTTACATGTTTTGTCAGTACAACGTTTATGGATGCTCGTAGTYCCTAGAGACGACGTATTAGAGTCAAGACAAATCCTAACAACAGTAATCGGTTATTCGAAGCCAGCTACACAATCATTGATTCTGAATCAGACCCCACATTGAGGAAGATCGTTTACACAAGAAATACACTTTCGGATCTGAACTKATAAATAATTTATGTCGAAGGGGTCTTTAGCACTATGAGGTGACGATACATTCACAGTGAACCGATTGTAAAACAATTTAAGCGATTCTCGAGTGAACGCCATTGGCTGAAGAAATCAATGTTATATTCAATGCTTAAAAGCTCCCAAATCAATTAAAGCTTTCTTGTCAAGTATCGTTTTGATGAATAATAGAAAAACTCGAGTTTCGTTGTGGTTAGTGATGATTTTAAATGAATGCACCGGGCCTTCGGGGGGAGGGGTAGGGGCTTTTTGATGACTGCTCGAGGATTAATGAGAGTTTGCGGTTRAAAACAGAGTCAATTCAAATTAGACTTGATTTAGTTCTCTGAGGTACCAATAASGTCTACTTTCTAAAATAAATAAGCAAGCTTTTGTAGCAAAAAATTAATAAACTCAAAACGCAAATCATAAATTGGGGAAGCAAATCTTGCACGAAAACGTCCATAAAATGTATTAAAATATAGCATGGTTTCCAAGGAATCTAATATAATAGGAAGTCAATAATTCCAATGTTTATACATATGTGTTTATAAAGCTAAGAGATAATGTCGCCAATTAGGAAATTGCAGCGTTTTTCCTCGCTGAATGGTCAAGTTTGTGTCTAGTCTGCTATTCACGAMGACGTGAGATGTAGGAAGCGTAGACACATTCGGAAGGAAATCAAAAGTATCCTTGTTAGTACTGTTTAACATTTGCTATCACGATATTAGATCATTACCCTTCTATCTATATAAAGATATATACAGCATTTTCAAAAAGCTTTGTGGAGAAAACTGGAAATGGMAAGGTGCAGTGACACCATTTTCTGGAATATAGCATGATGGGAAWTKTCGTYCTCGACTGAAAGGAATTRTGGGTATTGAATATTGCTGAAACAATCAATTATCTAACTATAGGAATATTAYTTATTTGTTATCCAAATCAGTGCATTTTGGTTTGATTTGTGTCGTAGTAGAAGTACTATAGTAATAGCTACAATTGTTGACAAAATCCTTGGACCATTACAGCGAATTTCCTCATTTTAAGCAACACAGACAATACCTTCCTCCCCTGTCCCCCTCCCCAAATGCAATGTTGTCATTGGGCATGTTACCATAGTACAGAGCCATCCAAAAACAAGACCCAAAATTGATGAAAGGAGGCTAATAGGGACTAATTGTGAAAAGTAAAGGAGAAAAATGTTAGGCTCAGAGACAAATAATTCTATGGTCCAGGGTATTTTGGCAACGATTGCAACACTAGCAGTACTCAACAGCAGTAGACGTAGTAGTGGTATAATATCGTTGTAGTTAAGACTTGTAGAAGACTGCAAAAGTAGTCAAAACAGTACAAGCAGTAGTAGTGTGAAATGATGTTATTATCAACAACTTTCGCGACAGGATACGAGCGAAAACTCAAGGCAAAATAACAACACAATAAAAAACGTTAAAAATTGAAGAATATCGTTAATAGACTGTCTCTATTTCCTTATCTTTCACTGTCGTGTGTTCGAATTAAAAGTACCAATCAAACTAAATGCATGGAATGGAAAAGGCACAAAAGATAAGGCAAAGACCAGAATGAGTTGCATCGAGGAAGGGAGCTGATTTGGCACAAATATATATAAACTCAAAAAGCAATTCATGGACTATTCTAGAATTGACGATGRCCGGGATGAGAAAAACATTGATGAAAAAACAACAACATTATTTCATTTAAAGAAATACTCAACAAAATCGCTTTAAAAATTCATTATTAACTATTGCACAACTCTSAAGAGGTTTTCTTGAAATGTCCCTGAAACTTAGATACAAATCTGTCCAGATAAACTCCCATCTACTCACTCAAAACAMTGGGGAGGTTTTCTTTATGTTCACGTGTTCATTTGAGCGATGAATTTATATGCTGAATTTTCAGACGGAGCGTGGAAGCCAAGCGATTTGAAAATGTTTATGTTTAAACTTCGTGTTTTACAAGGATTAAAGGATAATRTCTTAGATTTTGTACAAGTACAGTTATAAATGCACATATGGTTCCAATTAACCGCAAAAGATAAACYATTTTAAATTAGAATGACACGCTACAGAAAAAGATAGCTGGGCAACAAGAAAAAGAGGATTTTCTGAGCTAACCTGARAGAAAAATTGATTTCAAATACCTTTTCTTTGATTGAAGTATAAATTTGAAATTGTTAGGGTATCTATGTTATAATTCTATTGTTGTTTATCTTTTAATTTTTATATCAACATATATACGACAAATGWTTTTCGAAAATAATAATTTCAAATCATATTAATAGCGGTCTAATTTCGCTGCAATTAACTTTRTTTTAACGTCTTTTCCTTAATTGTTGATATGATAATTCTAAATCATTTGAATCAATCGCTTTTGCTATCATAAATACACCAAAAACATATTTTCATAGCACCATATGAATGCATCAAACAGCTCAAAAAAGCATAAAATATCTTACTTAAAAATWTTTTTATTTAAAACAATCTAAACCCGAGTCAAATAATGGAATATAATTGGSTAAAAGTTTCAATTGGTCTGACAAGTTGCAATCTTAAAGCTTTAAAGTAAAGTTTCGATAGCACGCGGTTAGGCCACTGCGTTAAGACTCTACCGGTATATGATCTTTTTAACTGTTCAGTCACTTTTAAGGAAACGTTAACCGATCAAAAATTGTCCAGTTTAKAGGAATTAATTCCGACACATTGCAGCAAATTAGAAAGGGTTGACCTTGGGGCGTTTAGGGTACTGCGATTSAATATCCAAGCAATTAAAACTWGATTCACGAATGGACAAAAAATACAGGTGGCCCAGGGATGTTTGGAAAACTGTCAAAAATAAAAATCAAACAAGAGTTTCAATTTTTATACATTAAAATAACTGATTTGAATTATTATGCGCGGAAATAAAACTTATAAGGTAACTTTGAATCGCAATGTTCARGTTTTTGGTGGATAAATTTCCTTTCTCTTTGTGAGCGATGCGAAGGATAATAAACTAGTGTCCAATTTAGCGGTTTGGCAAAAGAAAAAGGAATAATTATTTAGAGTAAGGTCTAATGTCATTTGCGATGTTATGAGGTTTCGAACCGACGGGGTTGCATTAGTACAAAAGCTGAAAAATCACATCATGATAAAAGTTCCTGCGAGCCCAAACTCTTAACTACATAATTATCTAGTCTTGTGCCAAAGCATGGCTTACATAACTTCGTTCTTGGCTCTCTGCACAGCGCATTGCSATACCAGAAGAGTWTAACAACATTACTAAAAGCAAAACCATGGAAAATACCTTCAACGCGGGCTCCAAAGTGGTTTTCATTGTTCGTCTGAGATTCTTCACATATCATTCAGTTAAAAACAAAGCGATTTCTACACTACGTTTTTCTTTTGGTTCCAAGTTTCTACAACAAGGTTAACCACGGTAGAATTGAAAACTATTTTAGTACGTCAGAATTCATGAATAAATAACAAGCAGCCAATGGGAAAAATTGAAATAAGAAATTATATATTTCACGTAAGCCTCGAGTTACCTTTGCCCTAGTAACAGGAATATTGGAAAATCTCACTAGTAAGTTCACTATCGTTAGTCTCCTTCTACTAACTCTGATAAACTGTACTAAAGTGGTCGGATTATTGCGTTGTCCGTTATAAGAGCTGTCYGATGTATAGTTCGGATGAAATGAGTTCGCCTTTAATTCATATAGGTTGTCCGTATATGAGTTCAGTTACGCATGAAGTCGTTACGTTTCCGTAAATATAAACGTAAATATGCGATAGATATGTTCAGTATGTTTATACGTAATCGACACTAAAATGCTTGCGGTATTGTACTTAATTTTACGTTTCGCGTGGTCATATTGAACTACTTATCTAAATGTACTGTGTATATCGAAACCGCTACCATTCCGCAACGCCGTTACGCAGACTGGTTACGTTTTAAGGGCGATCAAAACACTACAAAGATTGCTCCAAAGCCATAACTTTCGATAACAATCTGTCTTCTATTCCGGTTAGCTGATAAACCTTCTTTTTACCACCTCAGCAAATTTGCGTCCATCGGCAAAAAACTTAACAGCCTACGCGTTTTCTTGAGGCATTATTTACGTAAATGGCCAGAGTTTCATATTTAAGTACTTATCAAAATAAATCTAACAAATATGTCCTTTTTCATTATTGTTATTTGAATAATTTGTCGAATATTCTGTAATACTAGATTGTCAACGTCTCAAGAGAGCGAAAAACGTAATGAGTGTTTTCGYAGCGTTCCTCTGCGTAACAATTCATTCAATGCGTTACATTCACTATCGATATTTTCAAAATATATCGGATAAGGTCATTTAACGAAATTCCCAACAACATGAGTTCCAAATAATTGGTCATATCTTAGGAATCAGATGTCACAAAGATTTAGAGYTACCTACTCGATTTCCGTTACCAAAATTAAAACTTGAATTTACAATTTGAGCTGTTGAAACTTTAAACATTTACATACCTAATAATTTTGATTTTTTCTCTCTCTCTGGAGAACCCTGAATTGTTAAAGAGATTGTTCAAAATGCCAACTCCTGCGGATTGCTTTCATAAAATAATTATTATTACAAAGTCAAAACACTGTAATTCACTCATAAAAATAAGGCCGACACGCTGCAATGAACGACGAAAAATCTTTGGATGAAGAATTTTGACCTTGAAGCGCATTCAAATGGAAATAATTCCTCTGTATTTTAAAAAAATGAGTTTTATGATATTGCAAAACAAGTTGACATAATAGAAAAATACAGCACGCACGCTTAAAGAACAACTTAACTTTGAAACCAAGCAAAAATATAGAGAAATAATCAATTTAAATCTATACAAAATAACAGATAGTCTTTTAGCGACAAACCTGAGAAGACGTCCCAAGAGTACGCATAGCAAAAAGCATGCTGAAAATAGTCCAACAAGAAACCTTCAACTTGTAACGCTAAATTAAGCCAATCAAAATRCAGCCAACCAACATCAAGGTTATATTCCAAAAACCCTATTCTTCAAACGGMCTTATTTGTTTGCTGTTGACATCGACGTGTAACGGCAGGAGGGCAAATTTTCGGTAAAACCACCGATTACGCTCGCAGCTTTTCCCTTCGCGGTGACCTTCGTTACAGCTTAAATGATTTATCTCTTGAGCGGCAAGATGGCCGGAGAGAATCAAATACTAGCTKCGACCAAACAGAGATCAAAATCGACGTTGTCTCAAAATACGTTTTTTTACGAGAACGCTAAAAAACATATTAGTTTACTCTGCTCAAACTGTTATTTTAATTGTTGTGAATTAAGAAGTCACGACTTACTCTAGTCAAGTGTGATTTTAAATTATCCAAAATGCACCGTTAGAATACAAGCAGTTCCGGTGAAAGTCATCCAGAGTCAAAACTAGCGTTCAGATTCACCAACARTGCGACTTTCAACTGGCGTGTTTTTACACGATGCTGGATTAATATTTAACATTTCAAATAAGCTAACACATATTTTAATAAATGAAACAATTCATAAATGCGATGAAAATATATCAAATTTGAAAGTCAAAAGCAAATTAAGTGTTATAACTGAACTGTTCAAACGATAATCGATTTAAAACCGCATTTTGCAATGCGGTACACCTCAGCCTCGCTCCAAATCAAACATTTTGGTACTATTGATTGATTGGACRACAAGTTTAGCTGCTAAAATACTTATAGAAAAGGCAGTTTTCTTCGCTCCGAGCAGAAAATATTCTTAAATTACKCGAGAAGGCCACTTAGGAGCAATAAAAGTTTTGTATTCGATTGTTGATAGAAATTATCGCTTTACAAATTGCGTAAAGATTGCTTTCTTCAATAAACACGAGTCGCATTTAAATTCTGACTTAATAAACTCATTAAAGTGACTTTCACTTTACAGCTATAAAAAAACATCTTGGCAGTTAACTAAAATACAAAGTTATTGAAAATAGTCTCGAAACATGCGTTCAAAGCGAACAGCAAAAGATTCAAAGTAACTCACCGACTTTGCCCTGTGTTTCTCCTTTGACTGCGAAGCGTAAAATAAAGCCGTGTCTGACCGACCCGGCTGTTTATTGAAGAATTTACACCTATATGACCTTATTGTATTCTTTAAAACTGTCATTATTTATAAATCTTATGTGCTTAGGCAGTGACTCAAACACGATACAGCTACGAAAACATCTGTCGCCTACTTCAATATACGTCGCGTGTAGTTAGGTAATCGGCACGCGTTGAAAATCACAGATGTTTTTTCAGGTAAAAACCACCCCTAACTTTAGCCTATACAGTTAATCGTTCTTAGTCAACGTAATGCTCTAGAAAGCTTTAAAACGGCACAAGTGTATCACTAATTAGACCAACAGTGGTGTTTTGTAACTGACAAAATGGACAATTCCCGCAAAGAACCGCAAAGTATTCTGAAGTGGTCCAACAATGAATGAGATATCTTAGTGAGTAAGGTTGAAAACGCSTTGAAAGCGGAGTTTGCAAAGCAATACATAAACTACTATCTACCACAAGAGGCTTCTTCAAGAAAGTTTAAAAAGTTTCTAAACAAAAAGCTCTCGAATTTGGGGTAAAATTCACAAGTTGATTACAGGTTTCAAAACTATGTTTACAGCGTCTTTGCCCAATTAGACTTAACTGAATTCAAATTAGGGCTCGCTAACACGTGTGTTCATTGTACGAGTTCTGAATAGAAAAGAATACAATGTTTACAAATATTTAGACCTTTTCAATCGGTATTAAATTGCCTGGCCTTAGAGGCGTTAATGAAACTAGTACAACTGATTCTAGGGTCTTCAATTGTACAATGCAAACGACTGGGAACCATTAGCAGGGAGATGCAAAAACACGCTCTTTGTCCGAATAATTAGAGCATCCGAGCGAACATTTAAGGTTATTGAATTTTAGAAAAAGGTTGGGATTCGCACTCAGGTGATTGCTGTCATCGTTTGTTAGCATAGTCTAGTAGAGCCACCTGAACGCCGTCAACTGAAAAGTTTTTTTTCTTGATAGTAAATAGCAACCTGCCAATATTGGGTATTTAAATCGATTTAAAAGCCTATAAATGCATGCACTTACAACACGATTAATGATCAATAATCAAACGAATGGACTATAGATAGAATAGTTTAAAATGTACGATTTCATAAACAAAAAAAGAACAGTACTGATAAAAATTAAGGATAAATCTAAGGCACAGACAACAAGAGTCTGTTTTATGCATCAGCTTATATATTAGCTATCTAAAATAAACTCCAAATGTCTACAACTGTTAGTTAGTAGACCTACAACTGAATAATTCGCCTTCCTTATTCAAGCGTCCCCTTTTTATAAAAGAGCTTGGTATGCTTTCGTTGTTTAGGAGCGGATTAGCATTTTACTTAGCAAACGCCAGAGAAGACTAACAAAGAATTTGAAAACGAAACTCTTCAATTTCCAATCTCAATTAAACTCCTAAAACCAAAATCTAGTTAAATAAACATTACATTTGTTATATAAGCATCAGGTTTTTAGATGTTAGTTCAATTAACAGAATCTTAAAACACTCAAGGATGTTTTTAAGACCAGATTTCCCATAACAAAAGATCAAGYGACATTGGTRTAAATGTCAATAAAATCCACCACTCTCTATTCAAACATCGACTAACAACATATGTGAAAAGTAGACTTTCTACAGCTCTAAATCACCAAAATCCCCACTCTATAAACACTACTTAATTCAAAGCCTCTATACACTAACTTATAAAAACATTCGTCGGAAATGGAGTACTTACGGCACGAAATGACCTGTCTCAATCAAGATATTCTTTTAAATTCACACGCGCGGGTTTTAAGTCCAAGTAAGTGCCTTAACAGTACCAAGTAGTGAGGACTCTTTGTCGTTTCTGTATTCATGTGTCGACAATGTTTCCTAAGCCACGCTTTGTGTAATGGTAGAATCAATGCTAATTCACTGCTTAAGTACTCTATTGTACTTAAATAGCTCGGTTACTTTTAGTCCTTTATACCTGGGAAGTGCACTTAGCTACCATGTACTGCCTTGGATGTTGGCTTTGTTTTCCAGAGCACCATTACACCTATTTGTTAAAAGTTCTTTCAAAAGCGAAAAAGCAACCAAATTTATACTTTTGTGAATGTATAGTTAGATTCCTTATCACCGTTTTCACGTATTCGAGAAAATCGTCTTGGCTAATAACTTATAAATAAGTGGAAAAGATTAAGAAGAAGATTAAGCTGTCTGTTGTAAACAACAACCTGGCTTCTAGCGACACAAGTCATTACCAGAACAGCAGTAAGCAAAAACGCAAGAGACATTACAGCAATCCGTAATGATAGCAATAGCAAGCACGTGATATTAAATTTTCCTYTTTTTCTTGCGCTTGCGATTGGTTGATTKGGCATGTCATGTGACCATTCGGACCAATAACATAAAACCTTATTTGACCAGTCTTTTTCGTCCTAAAACTGATTCAAGATGGCTGACTCGAAGAACAGTTTGCGCATATGCACGTCTCGTTTTAATTCGATTGTGCTTGCGCTTGCGTCARGCTTTAAGTCCGCTGATCATGCAATGGCGTCTAGAGACCTCACAGAGTAGGGCGCGCTACATAAAATTTAAAAAGTCAATAAAAGTCCCAAACAGATGCATAAGTCATATCATCATCATCATCATCATATTATCAACCGCTGACCAATATTTCACATTAATCTCGCGGTTGCCATGGCATCCCCGGGTAAAATAGAAATCTAAACCCTCATGATGTAAACTTAATAATAAGCGATTAGAAGTAGGTCAGGTATATCGAGAAAAACAGATGTTTTGAATCAGATAATTCTGTAGTGTAATAAAAGAGATACGAGTCAAGAACCGAGAATGATATTATTCGACAGGTTTCACTTAATTGAAGAATAATGGAAAAAATATGATATTCATAACTGTATTTCCACCGTTTCTTCAGTTCCAGTTATTAACAGCGCTGTCAAAGTGTCTCTTAAATGAAACAGTTTTCCGTAATAAATCCGTCATGATACCTAATAAAAATGAAATCTCTTTGACATGAACGTAAATGTAACAAGGCAAAAAAGACGAGAGGACTTGTTAGATTCGTCCTTCGTCGTCAGTTTCTTGCGCGCAATGCGCTTAATAACCCATGCACGATCGCATTACTRCTCAACCACTCAGTGTCAAAAGAACAAAAACTAAACTAGATGAAAGTTGTAACTTTTCATTGATGGAATTGCCAGATTAGCCAGAAAAGGATTAATTTTGTAGTTTTCAAAACGTAGAAAATCTGTCGCAGGAAAAGTCATATGGTGCTCTAAGAGGTCGCTCTTTGAACTTAGCAATGCACATATTTTCACTTGATGAAAGTGTTCCTCTGGACCATACAAAATTGAAAATTACATAATGCGATTGAAACACAGTAGTTTGTTCTGTAATCTTCTATTTTATATCAGAAAGAAATGCACATACTGACATATGCAACTGATATTCTCGAACAGTTGCGATCAAATGTTCCAATGATCAATGGCTCTTTTGATATGTTTCACGTTCGATTTAAAAATTGAAACAATGAACAATGAAACTGATATCACAGCAACACCTGATTGAAAACAATACATTCTTTAAAATTCATTTTTCTATTCCTCCTTTGTTTTTTTTTTTTTTAACTCGCACGAAAAAAAGATGTCTTCGAAGCCAGAAGTGTGCAATCAAAAACATTTAACTAAATTGGCGCCAGTGAAAATAGATAGTTTTGTTGTGAAACAGTAAGGTCTRCACAAACAATCCATTTATCTAACGAACCTCTCGTGTTAATTGGTTCATTTCCCACATATATTAACCACATTGAATACAATTATAAACTTCCCGAGACAGAGGCGCGGTTGATTAAAAAACACGCGACCCCTCACTGCGCTAGAATAAAAGTAAAATACACAAAACATCCCGATTGCTATTGCTCCGCAGTCATGTTAGTATATAAAACAATCTATCGTTACCTTTTGTTCACTTACTAATTTCTTAAAATTAATGTGAATGAAGTGCTGTTTTGGGGAATTCGCATTTACAAACTGACAGCGAAATAATTTGACAATTCGTGCGCGTTCCCTTATAATACATATATCGGAACAAATTGGTCAAATTACGATATCGGAACAGCTGTATTTCCGCTTTCATTGTTCAGTACAATAAAATTCTGCTTTCATACTGCGTTTGTTGTGTTTTCTAYGTTATCACGCTGAACTGCATACACAKTTCTTTTYATTAAGTGAATTTCTTCGCGGWGCGTTTTYGCGTAGGAGGAAAAAAAGGCACTAAAACGGCTGTCGCATTTACGTGATCCATTTCATGTAATTCTATCATCAAGTTATTTCTCCTCTGGCGAAAAGTACTTTTATCTTTTGACCTTGTTACGCCTTTACGAAACATATCTCTTGAAATCCAAAACTGAACTTGTAAACAATTTATAACCTTTTTCCRAGCGTTATATAAACATTTGAATGATCTTGCATTATCTTTAGAAAAGAGCGGGTTTTTTTTATTATCTTGTGAACAATTACGCGAAACGACCGCAGACACTAGTTAACTCCAATGTTCTTCCCAAAATAGCCTTGTGTCAAAAGTGAAGARGCAAAAMGTTGACTTTGAAGTCGGTAAGATCATTCAAATTTTCCAAGCTAATTCAAAGAGCAAATAGAAGATCTATAAAAGACTGAATAGCTGTGTGTTAAACAAATTCTGAATTTTAAGTATTTTTGGGGTATTAATTAAACTTTTAACACGTTAACATCAAAAGTAATAAAAGAAACGAGTGCAAATGTGGTTTAAATGACAAAATAACGTAAACAAATACATATCATGAAAAAAATACGATTTCTTTCGTGAAATTCTGGCGATTTTTCAAGGAGGCGAAAATTGACTTACAAGACACCCTGGCGGTCTGTCGGCACCAATCCGTCTCCTCAATCTCAAAAACAAATATTGACAACAAGAGTTTTACAGAAAACTTTACGAAGAAATTTGAATCACAGAACTACTTCAGTACTCTAAGAGAACATGGAAATAATTCATGACTGTAATTTTTCTAAGCAGATTCCACTTCCGTGCGATCGATGAGGGGGTTTGCCTACAATAGCTTATCGAGCCGTCTACTTCAAGAACACTCCTTATAATTACGACAGCAAGGATATGAAACWCAAGAAAACTATTCCCATTAGAGATATTCACTTACAAATGACTTCATATTGAAGAAAATCTTGTCAGCAACAAATTTGTAATTAGGGTCAAAGCCGTCCCAGCTACCTACCGCTATAGGCATCACGCGAACAGYGTCTAACTCAAACACAAATTCAARACGAAATGATAATGATTACATAGCGCAAACTGATAAACTACACGGCTCCCCTATAGTTGTCGCCTGTGGCAGGCTCTAGAGTTCAATATGTGGTATAAATATTTAAGTGAATGCTACACTGTCGACCTAAATGCCGCAGGCAACTATTGCGTTGCCATACGACACCGTAAAATCTTCCTTCAAAGAATAAAATAGATCAATTCACTCACAAAACAAGTCCACTTCAAGTGCTATGCTAATATGTTTTGTGTTATGAAGTTCGCTCCGTGTCTTAAAGTTACAAATGTGAAGCTATGAGTCAGAAAGGTCGTCATTTTGTCAATAACMCACACGCATTCGTCAAAATCTCAAGTGCTGATGTTTTTATATGGCCGTTGTACAATACTTTGTAAGCTCTGTGYTCTTGTACAAGAACAATTTGCATCCCTGCACAAAGATACGTTAGTCAATTGATCGTAGTTTACGTTAACTGGTTGAGTGATTGTATTACAGCTTAGCGCCAGATCATTGTGTTTCTACTCACCCTACACGAACYTCTCGCCGTACAACATAATTACTTCAGGACAAGAGCTGTTTGCTAATCAATTTCACCACGAGTTTCAAAATATACCTAGTCGCATTCCCAGCGTTACGCGGGAGAGTAATGTTTACGCTGGTAGAGTGGCTAACATAAAACACACTCCTCTGCACACGCACAAAGGAATAGAATAATGATTGACAGGGTAACGAGAGGTCCTTTGATAATTGATGTGTGATTCAGAAGCTTTAGGCGTGGAAATCGTGTGGGAGGGTTACAATACCATCAAAATGCAACCATCACAAACTAGTACTTTGACCGAAATCCAGGATTTTAAGGCTTATTTGTGCAACATCTACAGCTGTATTCATAAATCTATCAAGGGATTAAGGGTCATTATGCATAGGTCTCATGGTTCTTTGGCTTGAGGTTCTGACTAAAATTTATAATAAGATTAATATAAAACCAAGTTATAAAATATTCATTATATGTTAATCCTATCCGGAAGACATGGCCTCCCAAGCAGACTGCCGGTTTGAACTMCTCAGAAAAAGTCTCTGGGGAGGCTAGAACAGATGCAGTCATGGTCGCTTACCAGAAAGTTTTTTTACAGAGTTTATATGGGAGACTGAACAAAACGGGAAATTTAAAAAGTCTGGTGTGCTTACGGGAGATGGTCGTTTACTAAAGTGGTCGTTCAAAGAGAGTTGACTGTATCTCATAGTAAAAAGAAAATTCTATTCTTCACACATACATACTGTATACGCTGAATTTGCAAAATTGTTATTTTTCTAGTACAGTTTTGCCGAACTGATCTCCCTTCAAACCCAATATTTATCAAGGTTTTGCACAAGACGTTTTGTTGGCATAAAGTACTTCTCAACTCATGCATTATTTTAGGCTTTTTTTCGGGAGACACCATTTTTCAGAGCAAAGCATCTTGGGTGTACAATGCTTGAGATATTGCGATGACCTACATTTCCCATCATGCAATTTTGCATAAACAAGCGTCGCTTCACATTGCATATCTTATAAGGAAGTACCCCAAGTGAGAACCAACAGGGAAGCTACCCAGAAATTTTAAAAATATTTGCTAAAGACTGCAATTCCTATAACGCATTTTTTTCACAAATGGCGTCGTTCACAATTCAAGGGGGTACCCCGAGGGCAGGAAGACTTGTTTCATAACCATGACAGCTGAGAGGAAAATAATCCACCAACGGACGTTCGTGAACGTTTCCAGGTTATTTATAAGCCATATCATCGCTTTTAAGTCTTTTAACAATTACTCAAAAGGACAAGAGTTCGCGTTGCTTCTCATCCGCATGTTGACAGCCATTGATTGATCAGCCCAATCAACGCATAACTTTCAATTACGTTTTATAGACTTTTGACCCTCTCTATGCCGACCTTTGCTTATTATTATGGCGAGCAACTGAAGAAAGCGAAACAAGTTGTTTCTGTGCCATTAGGTCGAGTGCCAAGTTTGMTTTKGTAAGTTCCAATCAGAAACTGTCTAAATCTTACTTCGATTACATAGCTTTATCTGTTAAGATATACCATAAAACTGCAGTTTCCGAAGAAAAAAAATTGTATTAAAAAGGGTTACTCWTTAATGAGAACAATATTACATCCTCTCTTGACAGTATGGCCGAAGCTYAGAAAAAATCTAGAATGTTAGTCCATGACAAATGCTTACATATCTATTATTTTCAAAAGATAAAGTATGTTTGTAGTAAGACTTCACTCAATTTCTACACTGGAAACATACTCTCAGAAAACTGATCAAGACCTATCGGTTCCTGAAATATTTTTAAAAATATCGATGTTTATTAAATTGGCGAAAGACTATGTTGTTCAACATAGAGTTGATAATGTTTATTGGAAAACTGACAATATCGGAAAAAACTGACAATTTGAATGAGCTGTTCCC